TGATATCAATCTCTGGAAAATTACTACTATCAGACCATTCAGAAGACTAATTCATTTTTACATTTTCCCCTTCTCTGTCATGTTCTTGCAAGTAATTAAACTGTGTTTATGCTATTATTAGCAAGCTAACTACGCTTCAGCATACATATTGGGTTTAAGCTATTATTAACATTCTATTATTCGCTTTAAAAAATGTTCCCTGGTTCTGAAAATTAGTTTGACCACTATGGCTAGGATCCCCTGATGATAATGAGCCTATTGTGGTGTTGGAATGGAAATTGTGAGGAATAGTTGATGAAACATGAAGATGGCAGTGAGATTATACTTCTGCTATGGATGCAAGTAGATTATTAAAAAGTAAGGAATTCTTTGTAATGATATTTAGTAACAGGACCAATTTAATTATTTTAAATTTTTCTTGAATTTCTTAATATATTTTTGGTCATTTTGGGCTATGAAAAAATATCTTTTTTTCATTTGGTTTGCATAAATATAATGTAAAATTGGACCTTATTTAATAATGAATAAAGTTACTAACATTGGACCTTATTAAATAATGAACAAAGTTACTAACAAACTCATTTACATGATATATGCACGAGAATTCAAAAATACATGATCAAATTCAAAATTACTAACAATTTTATTAACATGATCAAACTAAAAAATACAGAAGCTAAGAAGCAAATCTGTTTGGGAAAAAGACAATGGTTACATAGATTACAGTCAAATGTCCACAGGAGCTCCCCAAATGAGATATAGAAAACAAATTTAGGAAGAAAATAGGACTATTCACAGTGTTTCTATTGTGTCAATGGCCCTATAACATGAAAAAACCAACTTTAACAAACAACTTTAATGGACAATAAATAAAGAAAGCCTTGTCACAAATCAATAGTTGATTAATTGTGCTATATAACAACTATCTAACGGAAGGATCACATGCCACAGTACAAGTGAATGTTAATCAATTAGACAAAACTAATTTGTGTACACTAGGCATGCTTATTGAGGATCAGATTTGATTGTGAACCCTTTGAAAGACCTTTAATGTACCAAACCAAATCCCTTCCCACTTAGAAAAGTGAGGTAAATGAAGTCTCCTTGTAGAGTAGGACTAACCTTTGCTTTTTGAATGGGCCTTCCCCTGGCATCATCCTTTATTTCCACAGTGGAAGTCATGATTTCTGCCAGGTTCATATTAATATCAAATCAACATCCACAACCATGTCGCGTCTTACACATTTGTTAAAGTAAATGAATTGGTCTAAACAAAGGACACCAAAAAAACTCACTCTTCTCAACAGCAAATCCATTGTTCTTCAAAATTTCAGCGATTGAGACAACTGTTGAAATTGCTGCAATGACAAGCACAAATAGAACATCAACACCTAAGCAACAACAGCAGGTATTTCAAGAGGAAACTTCAAAATTTTGAACATATGCACAACTTATATATTCTCATTTTTTAGTACTTGCTAGTATTCAATCATGATGTGTACATAAATACTTCTTTATTTAAGGAATTACCATTTATGTTCTACAAAATTATTCACACCGAAGGTACTTTCAACGATAATGCATTTGTTTATGAATATCAATCGAGCTTGCACAGACATATAGTACTCCACAATGTGCACAAATACCATGTAATAATTATATCCATTTTGATGCCACTATATTGTAAATAAAAAAATATGATCTTATCATATAGAACCGCACCAACCATCACTGAAAGGGTTTCTCATTTACAGTTGAAAATTTTAGATAGGAGATTGAGAGAGAGAGAGATTAGCATCATCGTTATCTTTTCTATCACAATAATCATTAGCAGATGAATAAAAATATAAACAAAAAGAAAATGTCGAAAAAATAATCCATTTGGCATCTAAAGGGTGGATCCGTTATTTATCAAATTTCAACGAAAGCATATAGAAATTTAACAACAAATAAATTTCCCATAAAGATGATTAAATATTAGAGGCAGGACTGTGTACATTATCATAACTTCAAATCAGAAAATATATGAACTATAAACAAAGAATCAAACAAATAACAATTACCCATTCCAAGTGCTGAAAGCTCAACCTCATTATATTGCTGCATGTATCTCTACAGTGGGAATACGGTAAAAATCAAATTACTAAACTCAAAATACAAAGACAAAATTGAATACGATAAAATAATATAAATCAATCGAATAAATAAATAAAAACCTTGGCGAGATTAACGTAGAAGAAAAGGGGCTTCTTAGTATTGGAAACTTGAATTCGATTCTTCTTCAGAGATTCCACAATCTCCATCTTGTTCACTCCTTCCGTAATCTCTTCCATCGCACTACTGATTGAATATTGAGTATTTTGTGATGTATTTCTGATTTCGTGTCAAGTATGGCTAGGGTTTAACTTTTTGTTACGCTAGGGTTTGGTTTTTCTCCCGATGCAGAATTAAACTACTCGGAATGTTTGGTAACTGAAATAAGTTTGTTCCACGCCAGAATTAACTATTTTTTCCTTCATTTCCTTCATAGTTACGAGCCCGGACCCATCCTCACTCTTATTTTTTTTTTTTTAATTTTTTTATATATTTTGAATTTATATTGCATTACAAATTAATAAGTAGACAGTAAAACAGGCAAAAAAATGGATTATCTCGTGCTGCATTTTGAAAATCCTACCGGCGAAGGATGAGAAGGGCCAACTTAGTCCTATACCGTACGTGGAACTTCATCCTATTTATTCACAAACTCGATCAAAACGTTAGATCACATCCAGCCAGCACACTTAATTATTGGACTACTCCTTTAACTTACACCGTCAAAGCGTCCGATTATTGAATCACTAGTTCAATCAATTGACTTCCTCTCGATTATTCATCTAAACCTTTTCTTTTAATTGTAATAAGGAAATTAGACATAAATAGCACTAAGAGGGATAACGGAAAAATGATTGCGACCCTTTCTACATTTTTGAAATCGTAGCACTTTCGATTTTTAAATGATATTTACATAAAGGGCTATGCTACTTGCACGGAGCCACGTGGGCCCTGTGCCTCACCTATCACAGGAGGCCAGTCGACCCCTGACTTGCACAATGCAACCAACTTTTGGTTGCATAAATCATGACAATTTCAATTTGGTATCGACTTTTTCAGTTTTCTTTTTCATGAGGTCAAGGAAACAGATTGAACGCTGGCTTTAGAGATTATTTTCATTCATCCATAATCATGTCGCGGGCCAATCGCTGGAGCTTAGTGCAAGTTGACAAGAATATAAGTTGCATAGTATAGTGGACAAGTTACCAACAAGCAAAATAAACCTTCTTACTTTCCCTTTTTTCAGGGTTCACTTTGTAAAATTAATTAAAAATATCGATTTAAATTGACGGCTAAGAACCGTTATAAAATATTTTTATAAAACCTTGTAACTATCAGCGAAATCTTTTCTTCAAATTTTTATCACATCAGTAGGGTACGATAATACCAACGCTAATGAATTTTTTATAGTTCATAAGATTGAGAAAATGTGTCACTTTTACTTCAATGCATGGACCAATTACTAATGCATGTTGACATGAGATTGAGCTGAACTCTGCATGGGTCTTTTCATTGATGTAACGAATGATTACTTTATTAGTTCGAGTAGTCTATCACTGTTGATCTCGACCCTTGATGATCTATCTTGTATCAAGTTACTTTTTTTTCAACTGTAAAATGATAAAAACTGCGATAACATATCAACGTCACGACGAGTAATTTTCCATGTGACAGACATTTTTAGGACAACAAGTTGACATTATATTGATTAAAACTTGATCAAGTGTTTAACAAGGACATTTAATAATAAACTATCCCGCATGTTCAAACAAGTGGGCTACACAATAATATATTGTTGTCTTGTTTCGTAGAATTTAATATTTTTTTATATGTAAACAGCTGTCTTACATTTAGTTATGCATGCCTACACACTAATAGAACAAATTCTAGTATTACTGTCTTGCTGCTACATTAATCAAAAGGTCAATTTCATTAGAAGTAAAACAAATCGAAGACGTTGTTTTCTTATTAAGAAACGATAAAATTTAATTACTTTAACATTGTTCGCATTTTCTGGTGTCCTACGCATGTTAGGTTGGCATGTACTGTAAATGTAAGTATACAAGTCGGACTTCATTTTTTGGAAACAAAAACTAAGAAAATTCTGCACAAATTGTGGTCCTAAAATCATCCTAGCAGGCTACCCGAGAAAAGTCTACACTGAAGTATTATGCAAAAGGGACTTTGAATACCAAAACATTATTAAAAATCAAGTAATTAAAATCACGGTTCAAATGAGTTAATTTATTTGGGTTTTGCTATTCGTCCAGAAGCCACATGCGCCTCCTAGAGTGACAGGGCATACATTACCTTGTCACTCTAGCAAAACCCAATTTATTAAGCAGAATCGATGATCAGTCGATTGATCGTTGAAATGACTAAATGTCTAACTTAACTTAAAAAGTTTATTGTTAATTAAGTATCTATTTACTTTGATACAAGAGTAAGAATTACCCTAAAAAAGAATAATTTTAGGTATACCTTTTTTAACATGATGATTCACGTTGAGTGTATCGACGTGATGAAAAATTTGTCAAAATTTTAAACTGTTCAATGATATATAGCCGTGTGATACAATGTAAAAAATGCTATAAAAAATAATATACATATAACATGATTGATAATTTTATTTGTAACAAGCGATGACAATAGTAATATATGTAACATTATACTAGGTGTAATATTAATAATTAAAAAAAATAACTTTTAATAATATTATATTACGTAAGATGACTGAATATTATAGCACTACTCTTCTACAATGTCGTTGTTACGATCTTCTTGTTCTCCTCGTCAATTTTCTATGAAGTGCCGTGATCAGTTTAGTCTCTCCGTATTACCTTTACTTACACATATATGTATAAATACACTCTCTCTAAAACCAAATCTTGCATTTCTTGGAGAATATGGGAAACCCTTTACATTTATCATCTTTGAATCATATTTCTCTGGTGTGCAAATCAGTTGAGGAGTCCACTGATTTTTATGAAAACATTCTAGGGTTTGTCCCTGTGAAGAGGCCTGGATCTTTGAAATTTGATGGGTCATGGTAGTAATCACATTATATATTTTTTATTCTTGGACGTAAACGAAATTCGAATAGATTTTATTGATGGGCTTTTGTTAATTTCTTGAGTTTTGCAGGCTATTTGGCCATGGAATTGGGATCCACTTATTGCAGTCTGAAGATCCGGAAAGTTTGACAAAGAAAACTGTCATTAATCCAAAGGATAATCACATGTCTTTCCAGGTGATTAACATGTAGTGCCACCGGTGGCTCTTTTGAGAAAAATCAATCTTGAAATCCGATTTCTGATCGATTTGTTTGTTTGAGTTTAATAGGCTTAACCATTTAACAAACATATAGTGCAGTCTAGTACTCCACGTGTTTTCAACCAAGTATTTGTTTTCATTGCAGTGCGAGAGCATGGGTATGGTGGAGAAGAAGCTGACGGAGATGGGGATCAACTACGTGCGACAGCGGGTAGAAGAAGGTGGAATCTACGTTGATCAGCTATTTTTCCATGATCCAGATGGATTCATGATTGAAATCTGCAACTGTGATGATCTTCCTGTAATCCCATTAGCTGGAGAGATTATCAGATCGTGCTCCAGAATCAATCTGCAGATGATCCAGCAGCAGGGTCACTTGAAAGTCGAGTCTGTCTTAGATTTTTCTGCTTAATTACTTTCTTGTCCTTCGTTTCTTGCATGTGATTCAGTGATTGTTGTAATAAGAGGCTTTGGCAGTGGGTCCAATGGTAATTTTATTTTAATGCGTACTTTCAGCTTGTATTTTGGACCATACTACAAACAAGTACATAATCATTTACATAATACTGACATGTGGCGCGCATTCATCGGTAGTCTACAATTTTTGACTTTTCCACACTTCACATCCACAGTCGGATTTCTTCCACACGTGCATATGTAATCCATTATTTACAATAATTATATACATATAGATTTATCCTTGTATTTTTGTGGCTGCTACTTTCAGTTTGTAGCATGTTGTCGAAAAAGTTAAAAAAAAAAAAAAAAGCTTTGTTCCTAGAACATCAAATAAAATTAAAATAAAATGACTAATTAAATAATTCTCACATAAACTAAACCAGCATGTACAATATGATAAATTCGATAAGATTTATATGATTAAGAAATAGAGACATATAAAATGTCATTTTATTGAAGTTGTGGGAAAATTTTGATTTGATACGTGAAGGAATTACTTGATTTAGTCTTTAGGACCCAACGATTCGCTTGCAATTGTCGCCACTTGATTTGGTCTTTACTACGCTACAATTCCCTTGCAATTGTCACAAATTCTACGGCTGATTTTTTATTTCAGATGCGTGACAAAACACAACAAAAAATTGGTTAGAAACGTTGTCAACTATTCCACAATTTTTCAAAAAGAATAACTTTATGAAGTGTCATAAAAAAATAATTAACATGAAATTTTGCTTTTAAGTTTGGTAAGCGTTTTTCATATTAGATTTTTTGGTAGCATTTGGTACAAAAATGGTGGGTCCCTTGAAAGAGTACCTACTCAAACCGAAGACAATTATATGTATAGGGTCCTAGTCAAGCTAATTTAGTCCCCCTCAACCCAGATTTAGATAGTGGGGACTAGTCAAATGAAAAATGCTGAATGTACAGCTCTTTTACACATTACCTTTGACAGCACTCTTACATGGGTGTGGGGTCCTCTATTGTGGGCCCCAGCCCCCATGTGAGAAGGCTGTAAAAATGCATGTGTAAAAAGATTGCAAGTGTAGCATTTCTCTAGTCAAATTGCTTGAGCTTCTAACCTTGAGACTAGACGTAGGCTACGGACCCCAAAATTCCTACTAATTCACTACAAGAAATTCCCACAAATCTGAATAGAATTAATCTACTCAAACAAGGGAAACCCAGACAATGGAAAAAATACAGACGGACATAGTGATCTGTGATTCATCTGTTTTTTTGAAAAAATTTACATCTCCCAATGAATTGCTGCCAAGTGTATCTGTTTGCAAATTTTTGTCAATTTTCTTTGTTTGTCTAGCATTGCTCGAATGAATATATTCATGCCTGTAAATGGAGGTCCCCAGTCATACTTTTTGAGACCATTAGAGCATGGAAGAAATTTACTTTCGACGATACCTAATTCTTTAGATCTCATAATTAGCCGATAGACGTCAATATTAGAGGTCAAGGCGAGCACGAAATTATCGATGTAAAATTGATGTAATTGAAGTCGTAGAATTGTAAAATACACCAAAGATATACCTGGTAAACAACACCAAGGACATCGACGACGAGCCCAACATCAAGCTAATTCAATATTCCCTCAACAACATTTAGAGTGGGGGTGCTAGTGAAGAACTCCTTAGCCCAAGGCCCAAATATAAACGTATTTGCTTGACTAAAATTATAAATACTTACAAGCGATGGGGCATAAATCCAATATCGATCGGTCTCGGATCCATCCGTTAAAAAACCAAAAAAATCCATCGACTTTTCATAAAAATCGGCTGACGAAAGTTTGAGCTCCATTTGTTTTTTTTTTTTTGACAAAAAGAAAACATTTTGAAGTAGTGATTTTATGGAGAATATGTAATTAAAAAATATGGAAAAGTTTTGAATTTACATGTAATATTATTTTATTGAAAAATGTAATTAAAAATAAAAGTGAGACAAATATATTTTGAAAACAATAAAATTCAAACGCAGCTATATTTAGGATTTGAATAATGTTTGGCTAGAATTAAAATTGAAAATATAATCATTATTGGGTCACACTCGTCCAATAAAATTCAACAGTAATGGCTAATTTTTTTATTTTAATCAGATTTTAATCCTTACCGATCACGCAGATTTTTCTCCCACAAATATGAATCCATATTTTTCAACTAGAATAATCCTAAATGGAGAGTCCCCAACCATATTTTTCATATCAATGTAGCCGTGAGGAAAATATTTTTTCATTTTTTTCTTTATATTTATTCTTTATTTATTTTATAATAGATGGCAATAATATTGGATAGAAACCATCTTCTAGGACAACGGTAAAAAATATATATAAACGACCATTTTTTTTATACGAAATGCTTTATAAATGATGTAAAAATCATATTTAAATATACGTGAATGTTAGTTAATTTAGAATTAATACTAATAAATATATACTTGACAATGAATGTTAAATAATTTATTTAATTTTCAACTAAGTAAAACTAGATATTTATTAACATACGTGGAAGTAAATAATGAAATATATTGTTGTATGTGAAATTATAATTAAGTTATAATTAGAATTAATAACATTGAAATATATAAATGAATATGAATATTAATTAAACGAATGTGAATGTTAATTAATTGAAAATTAATAATAAGGAATACATATATTAATTAAAGTACACATGATAAATGAATCAATCAAATGTACATGTATATTGATAGTAACTAAATGATTAAATAAATTAAATACTTATTAAAAATGAAAAAGTAAAATATTGTTGAAATAATTGAATTATAGTAGACTAAAATAGTCCAAAAACGATTCTTACTTGATGTGATATTTAGCTTATGTTTGGCCTCCATTTTTTCAAAAACTCATTTTCAACCACACATTTTTTTATAAAATAATTTTACATATAAATCTAAAAAAATTTCTTATTTTTAATCACACATTTTCCAATAAAACATTGTTAAGAATGCATTTTACCCCAAAACAAGGGACTCAAAAAAGGCTTAATATATAGAGCATGTTTGGTGCACATTAAAATGAGAGAATGCATTTTTTTTGTGATGTGATGGAGAATATGTGGTTGAAAAGGAAGGAAAAGTTATTGATGTGATGGAAAATATTATTTTATTGAAGAATGTGTTATTGAAAATGAGTAGAAGAATGAGAATGCGGTTCAAACTAAGGCTAGGTAAATAATTTGAATTCAAGCTTTTTTTTTTTTTGACAAAAAGAAAACATTTTGAAGTAGTGATTTTATGTGGAATATGTGGTTAAAAAATATGGAAAAATTTTGAATTTACATGTAATATTATTTTATTGAAGAATGTAATTAAAAATAAAAGTGAGACAAATATATTTTGAAAATAATAAAATTCAAACGCAACTATATTTAGGATTTGAATAATGTTTGGTTAGAATTAAAATTAAAAATATAGTCGTTATGGGTCACACTCTTCTAATAAAAGTCAACAATAATGACTAATTTTTCAAGTTTAATCCGATTTTAATTCTTACCGAACACGCAGATTTTCTCCCACAAATATGAATCCATATTTTCAACTAGAATAATCCTAAATGGAGAGTCCCCAACCATATTTTTCATATCAATGGAGCCGTGAGGAAGATATTTTTTCATTTTTTTCTTTATATTTTTTCTTTATTTATTTTATAATAGATGGCAATAATATTGGATAGAAACCATCGTCTAGTACAACGGTAAAAAAAAATATATAAACGATTTTTTTTTATATGAAATGCTTTATAAATGATGTAAAAATGATATTTAAATATACGTGAATGTTAGTTAATTTAGAATTAATATCAGGAAATATATACGTGATAATGAATGTTAAATAATTTATTTAATTTTTAATTAAGTAAAACTAGATATTTATTAACATACGTGGATGTAAATAATGAAATATATTGTTGTATGTGAAATTATAATTAACTTATAATTAAAATTAATGACATTGAAATATATAAATGAATATGAATATTAATTAAACGAATATGAATGTTAATTAATTAAAAATTAATAATAAGGAATTCATATATTAATTAAAGTACACATGATAAATCAATCAATCAAATGTACATGTATATTGATAGTAACTAAATGATTAAATAAAGTAAATACTTATTAAAAATGAAAAAGTAAAATATTGTTGAAATAATTGAATTATAGTAGACTATAATAGTCCAAAAACGATTCTTACTTGATGTGATATTTATCTTATGTTTGGCCTCCATTTTTCCAAAAACTCATTTTCAACCACACATTCTTTTATAAATAATTTTACACATAATTTTAAAAAAATTCTTATTTTTAATAACACTTTCTCCAATAAAACATTGTTAAAAATGCATTTTACCCCAAAACAAGGGACTCAAACAAGGCTTAATGTATAATAAATCAATAAAACTGTTTGTACAACTTTTAAATGTTGTATACAACTTTTTCACATAATGTGGATCCCGCGATACATGTGATAGGGTTGTAAGGTATGCTATACATGTAGCAAGTTTGTAAATCAATAGTATTTTTAAGCCTACCTAAACATGTTCAAAAAGTCACCCTTGAGTGGGGGGATTTGTTTGAGCTAGTCAATCAATGGGTTAGGTAAGGCTAGGTTTCATGACCTAACAACTTTAATGAATGAAAATCACTCGATATTGCAAAAATCATCATGCATATTGCCGTAGTGGAGCTAAAAGCAAGAAAAATTCTACACTATGCCCCGTTTGACTTAGAAAAAAAAAATTGATTATGCTAAAAATTGATAAAATATAATGTTAAAAGGTTGTAAATTCATTTTTTTTAGCTTAACCAAATCGGGGCTAATATTCATTTTGTACATTGAAAACATCAAACAACTTGACCAAGTTCTAAGATAAACAACAACATGAAATAAACCAACCAAGAAACTAATCCTAAATCCTACAAACGGTTAGAACAAAGTAACATTGAAATAAATAAGAGAGAAAAAGGACAATAATTTTTATCTATAGGTTTCCAAATTCATGCACCTCACTGTTTATTTCGATGAAAATGTAGTCCTGACGGAAACTTCCACCTCAGCCGCCGGTAAACACCAACTTTGACCTGTATTATATCTTACGCTTACCGGACTTGGGTGGTCGCCGGCGAGTTTTGTCTTGTTTGCTAAAAGCACTGCAAAACCCACATGCAGAAACCTTTGGAGACGGTGGCTCTATAGCCGGGGACACCCTTCCGGTTCGGTATCCTCGACCTCCGCCGTTGGATCGGCTTCTCTCTATCGTTAGTCCGGCGGATTTCTTTTGTTCCAATTGATTGCTTTCTTCCTTTTGATTTGCCACTTTGTTCAATTCGCCAGATAAGATCTTATCGTCCCAAACTAAACCTGAAGATCCTTGCCTCCTGAATGATACTTCAGATCTCATCAAACCAGCCATCATCAATCACCTTTCTCTCTCTTTCTATTTCTCTCTAGAATTTTTATTTTTTCTTCTAGAGATTTCTTGAATGAGAATTGTGAATATATATAAAGAGTTGGAGAGAGAGAGAGAGATCCAACATTTGCTATGGTTTGGTTTGAACTTTGAATTTAGGCCCCGTTTGATTTGGCATTATTTTTCATGAAAGATGAAAATTAAATTCTATTTCTATATTTTTGCATGTTTGATTGACTAAATTTTTCATAGAATTGGTTTTTCACATTTTCTTGATTTTTTAGGAAAAGATTTTCCCATGAGTTTGGTGGGAAAAACTTTTTTAGGCAACTTTTTTTTTTTTACAATGGAAACAAATTATATCCCTTTAATGGACAATTTTCATGAAAAACAAAGCAAAACAAACACCAAAAGATCTAAAATTTCAATATTTTTCAGGTGAAAAATTATATCATCAAACACAATTAATTGACAATTTCCAATAAAACAAGTTCTATGCAATTTAATTCCCTGAAATTCATTTCCTTTCTACCCAATTCTATTCTTACAATCAAACGGACCCTTAGTCAAATGCTCAAGTTTATTAACTCTAGGGGTCGATTTTAAAATATTATAAATTTTACTATATGATTCATGAAATTTCACTAAAAATGATGAAATTTCAAGATTTAGTAATCACTTGTATTTTTTTTAAAAATATTTTAATTTTTGTTTATTAATAAAATCCATATAAATTTACGAGTTATTGTGAAATCTAGGTTTTAATAGATTTTAATGAATTCCAATAAATATTTACGTAAATTTTCAAAATTCATTAAAATTCCGGTTAAGGATTCCCTTTAGAATACTAATTTTAAATGATCGTCACACATTTGATATTGAAAAGTTATAAAATATAGTACATGCTTGTTTACGAATGTTCGAATTTTGATTGACTAGTACAAAAAAATTGGTTTGAAAAAGGAAGAAGTATGGTGTATAGCCGATAGGCAATGCAAAATTTTTTTCAAACAACGCAGTCAAGAATTGAATATTGAATCTACCTTGAATCCAAATTTTGTAAATAACTTTATTTTTCTTTCTTCGATCATACAATTAGTAGACGACTTTATTGTGTATATATTTTTGTTGACATGGGTTGTTTAATTAATTAATGAATCTAATCACTCACATAAATGTTGCTAATGTTGCAAACATTCTTTGTAAAACGGCCTTACTTTGAACCACGGGGGACCAAACTGATGTGCACGTCTATTATACAAAGTCATCACCATCCATGAAATTAAATGTTCAAAACAAAACCTCAAGTGCTAGTTTCAAAGCCGGACACGACATGGTATTTTGCCTATCTTTAGTAGAGCAGCGCCTGGACATGTCGATAGTTGAATTTGATTGCAGCAATCACATCTCCATGCACTCGAAGGCCCTATTCTCAACCGGCAACCGCATCGAGGACCCGAAGACATCATTCACCGCCTTATCTTGTTCTTTTATTTGACGGGAAGCAAACAGTTCAACTCATACTTCAGATAAATCAACCCTTTTTACTTTTTCAAAATAATCACCTTAATTACGGTTGATGCTATTGAATAAAATCGCGCTTTTCCTTGAAAAGGATATACCGATTTTGCCACTCACTATTTAAATTTCTCATGTATTTTCCAACTTTGAATAGTTTAGTGCGCATGACCAATGCGAGTTTTGCCATAAAACCCTACATTTATGTAGAAAAAAGCCATTTTTTTGTGTTCAAAAATGGCAACTAATTTGTAATTTTTTGTAGGGGGAGAGTAAGAAATTTCAAGACACTCGTCTCAATGATTAAATATAGGGAACGATGCCGTTTAGTCAATTTATCATTGCGCATTTGAATTCGGTGCAATTGTTGATAAAGCACTAATTGTGAGAATGTCAATAATGTCATTATCACATAACAGGAATTATCATTTACCCAAATTTCAAATAATGATGATGAGTTTGAAGGCCTAATGATGGAAAAGGTGCATGCTTTTGGATTCGGAGGATGCATCTTGATTGCGATTTATGAGGGCATCCTCGATTGGAATTAAGATGAACGGTTCCTATTTCAATGTCACTCGCTACAATTTATCATACCACTTTCAAGTCTCAACTCCCTCGATTGAAGCATTAAAAAAAAGGGATGGGAACGAACGAGGTCCGGCTTCAAGTTGTTCAAGATTAATGATCTCAAATGCACAACTCCACTTTAAGTAAACGAAAAGTAGGGGGGAAAAGCATTAGAAGAACATGACCAGACCAAACAAGGTCCGACTTTAAGTTGTTCAAGAATAATGACCTACCACATATGCTCAATTCCACTTTAAGCAAACGGAAAGAAGTGATAACATAGGATAATATGAACAAGGATGGGAATATAAACAAAATTTAGTTCAAAGAATACACTTGGAGAGCTGTCAAGATGCATTAATGATGTACAAATGCTCATTTTCCGAAACTTAATAGCTGAAGCATTCATTTATAGAATCGACATGTGGGTTTCTTTACCCGAAAAAGCCTCTTCAAGTATAAGACGAAAGAGAAGGCTTATCACAGTGAATTCGTGAGAAAGAATCAAGAAACTAACTTCTGTTCCTATTACCACTGCCGCTGGAGCCTTTTGATCCCTCGGAAATACAGGCATCTAAAGCTGCTAAAACTCGTGTTTCAAATTTATGCCCCTTGAAAGTTGCCTTAACCTTCCTAACAACTTGCTGCTTCGCCACCTTACGCTCTGCTGTCGTGAGGTGCTTACTCTTGCTAATTCCTTTAAGAAAACCAACAACATATTCACCAGATCCCCCAGTGCCCTTTTCTATCTTCACAAATTTTTCGACCACTTGCAAAGAAAACAGCCGTTCTAGACACATTTTGTTTCCAACCTCGAGAATGTCCAAAATACAGTGCACGCTTACTTCTCTAGTCTTCACTGATTTGTTCTCCATCGAATGAACCAACCTCTCAATAAGACCTGTTTTAAGGATTTGAGTCAAAATGAGATTTCCACCATTGCTGAAAAGCATGTGATGTAGTGCTGTATAGGCTGACTCCTGCAACTCTGGAATCTTGCACTGCATCATTTTTATTAACTCAGAAATAATATCATGCTCGAGAAACTTTTTAATGCAGGGCTCTCCCCCAGAGCTAGCAAGCTTCATTAGAATAAAAGCAGATTCGGACCTTAATGAATTTTGATCTGATTGTCCATTTTGCAGAAGTTCTGAAAGTCTTTCGACAAGGGGACTCCGTAAGATCATGTCCCGGATCCTTGGCTCTTCTACCTCATCAATTATTGGTATAAGATCTTGCATAGCTTCTAGCACTAGCTTTTCGTTGCTGTCGAGCAGTTTGTGAAGTACATCTTCAAAAGTTTGTGGTTTTGGTGAAGGCAAAGTGTTCCGGTCTATCAATACAAACTTTTCTAGGCGAAGTCTTGCTTGCCAAGGTAACAAATTTAGAATACTGGGCTGTAGTGAACCATTTGCAGAACCTCCAAGCTCGTAAAGTGCTTTTAATATGACAATTGCATGGTTTTGAGCAACATCAGACTCCTTCTCGAGAAGTTTAATGAGGCTCCGGTCTACTTCAAAATCAAACATTTTCTCGACAGCTTTTGACTTTCCAGCTTTGATCAAAGACATTAATGTTGCACACACAGTATCATGCCACTCTTCTGCATGTGGAGACAGCAAATCTGCCAATTGACTCATCGGAATTCTCTGAAGAACTTCATCAGTGGTGCCCTGGTTTCCGAATTCCGCAAGTTTTGCGAGGATAGTAAAAATATTAGTCTGATATAGTGGCTCCTCGCAGTTTTCTACAATATTAGCAAGTTTTTCAATTGCTCCTATAGTTTCAAGGGATAGCAAGTACTCAGAATAGTCTGCATTCGTAAATGTATTTGTGATTGCTACTGAAGAAACTGCAATCAGATCCTGTGATCCTGACATCAGATTTGCAATCTTCGGTCCCAGCATTTTGCAAAAACCTGCTCGGCTTGCTTCATATTCAGAAATCGACATGCTTGCCTCAAGGGCCTGAGTAATTGCTTCTAAGGTAATTCCCACTTGCTTTTCTTCTAAAAGACTAAGAGAAAGCTCAATATTCTGTTCAGAAATTCTTCTAGTTGTTTCCTTCCCAAAAATAAAAAGCCAGGGACTGATGAATGCCCTTTTTTCTGCATTTGAATCAGTAAGTAATATTTTAACAGACTCATTTGTTTTGCTATCAAGGTAGAGGGAAACCATGTCATGCACTTGGTACAAGGAATTAGGTTCAACTTCCATCAGTAATGAACCTTCAATAAGCTTGCAAAATGTCAGCGAGAACAGATTTTCGTCCCCAAGAACTGACCAAATGGCCTCAAGACAAGCTTCTGGAAGAGGTTCTACCCATGAAAGAGCAGCAAGAGCAATGAAGAGTCTTTTCGAGTCCATAGGCATCACCTCCAGGCTAAATTCAAGCGATCCAAAAATGGTAACTGTGGTTTCAGCTTCTTTCTCGTTTACATATGAGATCGGACCTGGTGCACATGTGGCGTAGGTGGATAGGTTTGAAATAGCCTTTTCCCATTTCTCGGCTCTTTTTTCTTTCCTGAGGGCCTTACCCATGACAGAAACTGTCAGGGGATGATGACCACAGCGTTCAAGCAATGTCTCTGCCTCCTCCTATGGACGAATTAATAACAAAAATTATAAAGTTACAGAAAATTAAAGGTCAGATATCAAGTATGAGTTCAAACAGAAAAGAAATGTCCAACAGTATTAGAATCAAGTGAAACCTTTTTCTTTCTATATAATCACTTCACAGGATCTGTACCAAGTTTGTATAGCATTATTAATAAAGGCTATTCAGGATATAGTATATATACTTCAGCAAAACATGAGATGAATCTGGTCTTAGCCTCATATGACACAGAGTTAACTCAAATCTGACATGGTTCACCTTTATTAGGAGGCAGCATTAATGAATAGAAAAAGCACCTGCAAACAGGCATAGCACAATAATAGTGTTACTGAGATGACTGAAATTCGCAAGCTTTACAAGTTACGAACGTGATTTATTATCAACATCTGTTACAAGAAGTCCTTGTGCAATTTTTGGTTTTTGATATATTGTTCCACAAATGTAATTGATCGACTTTCTTGTGTAGCAGATGAAACTCTAATTTTGTGAAAGTTATTCTTACTATCATAAGCTTAATGTTTTCATTTCTTACAAAGTTTCCTTAATGTTCTTTTCTCCTAGCAACCACAGGTCCACAACAAACTGATCTCAAATGTGATATTTGCATCAGCTATCCATCTTTCACGAGTTCACAGGTTTGATATTTGGTCCAAGATATAGCTTCTCTCAGATGGTAGTTTCATAAAAGTAATTGAATTGCTTTTTATCAAAACAGCCCTATTATAAAAGGTGGATAAAAATTGTGGATTCAATGAAATGTGTGGTTAAAAATGAAGTTGGACCAACTTTCTAGCAAACAAAAGCTTTACCAAACAAGCACTTACAGTTTGAAAACAGATAAGCAATATAGTACTTACAGGTAACTCATCTTCTCTGAGGTGGCTATGATAAAGAAGAACTGCCTTGCTTATTTCCCTTATGTCATCTTTACTCACCTCTACCTTGTAAGCTTCTGTTATCTCATAGACAGATTCATTCCTACTTGTTACCAAGTACCTACAATCATTATCATATAACTTTGCAAAACGTTCAACAATGTCTTGTTCCCACACATCATCAAGAAGTATCAATAAGCGCTTCCCGACCAGTGCTTCTTGAAGCTTGAAGCAGACATATTCAAGATCTCTGCAATATTCATCTTTGATTTTTTTCCAAAAACCAATCTGTAACAGAAACTTACAAAATTTTCTCGCCAGTCGCTTTTGGTATTCGGCCTTATCGCCATGACAAGCAGGTCTACTGCACCACTGTCCGAATCCAAGTTCAACGGCTCCATCCACAAACCTTGAGGGAAGATTGGAAGCCACTTGTCTAGCTAAAGATGACTTGCCAATGCCAGATAGCCCAACAATGAGAATTACACTACGACAGCTATCTTCCTCCAGTAAATTTCTCACATACTTGCACTTATTGGAGATTGGGTACCCTTGATCCGTGTTTATTTTCAACCGGACGGGGATGTTTCGTGCAGTTGTTTCTATCACATTTTCAACATGCTCGGTCAATCTTTGAGATTCAAGCCACCAGTTCAAGTCATACCTCATTGTATTCAATATCTTCCCGAGTGGATCGCCAATCATAGAATTCCATACAATCTTAGCAAAGTTCTTGATTTTACTTCTAGATGCGACCCTTTTAGCCTTCATGATATTTGGATGTAGCCGTTCAATAAGGCGATTTAAGCTTTGAATCTGATTTTCTAATTGGGGGTTGTGAAGCTTGTGAAAATGCTTTTGCTTAATACGGCGTGTCAAAGTCTCGAGTTCATACACAAATTCCTCTAGGGTTTGAATCCTCTTAGGAGCTTCATCAATGTTTCTAGAAGCCTGCTCTAATGCCCCAATTGCTGCTATCATACTCGAGACTATCTGTGTCGCACCCGAAATAACTTGTAGAGCATCCATTTCACAAGGAGATCGTCCAATTCAATATCTTTTTATAACCTCTTGACATTAACTTTATGCCAACGCAACCATCAAAACTGCAGTCTAATTCAAACCCTCAAAGGCAACTTGAAAGCAGCCCCAACAAATTCTTGAGAATGCAAAGCTCAAACTTTTGAGAAGTGTCAACAGGTCCAGATTCTCTTTCATACTATCCACGGGGTCGAAACAATTAACAGATCCTGACAAATCTAGAGAACCAATCCTTATGTAGTAACATACTTCAGTCAAGGTTCTTCAAAAACAACAAGAGGCCCCCAAGTCAAAACACTTTCTTAGCCCAATAAGTACAACGACCCAGCCATAGATTCAAAGAATAATCCTTGATGATTAACACCCAGTTCTTAAAAAATTATTTTCCTCCATAACTAGTAACTTTACCAATACATGATGAGCAGAAATCAAGAAATCTGAAGCTTAGAATTCTTTTAAATAATTAACATTCTAGTACAAGAACAGGCAGCTAATGTTATGTTCTAGAAATCAGATAAATTTCTATAAAAAATAGATTGTTCGAGAGGATCAAGTGTTCTTAGTCCTTACCTCAAGAAGCTGCGAAAATGCCAAGAAACGAAGGGAACCACCCACCCAACTCGACCCCTGCCTGAACGATTTTTCTTGAAGTAATTCTTACTTCTATAATTATAATCAAAGAGTGTACGAAGAAGATCTTTTTCATTTGGATTCCAAGTTTAGTCAAAGTGTATGCAAAAGAAGTCAGAGATCGTAGCGTTATTATCATTAAAAATAGTGTTTGCTTTTAGAATTTTTTTTTTTTATTATTATTTTTTTGGCATCAAAGGTCAAATAGGACTATTTTATCAAGACATTTTTTGGAAAAAGTTCATAGGCCTGCCATAGTAGGTAAGGCAAATTGCCTCAACGCGCTCTATTCCTCATCGGCTCATCCCAAAAATCCTCATGAAGCAAGATACGGGAAGGGCTGCTTCAATTCGTCGTTGGATCTGGCACCACGATATTGATTCACGACATAATTCAGCATGGTTCATGTCTTCTTACGAACTTAATCTATTTTTACTTCTCGTCTATAATGACAATTCTTCGCAATTTGATCTAATTATTGATTTTTAAATTTACCATAATACTAGTACTAACCCCATGACTTTTTCCTTCCTCTACGAATAAATCCTTTTGAATTAGATTATGGATCCCGTCGAGACAAAAATCAACTTCATTGAGTCTTTTGGAATTTGGAGTCATATATGGCAAATTTTTTAATATCTTAGCATCTCTTCTATCTCAAATAAAGATTACAATTTTTGAAAAGATTACAATTAAAAACGAAACTTAATCGAAAAGATTCGGATGCAGAAGTAGTCCTTTAATCGAAAAATTCTGAATGTTCTTTCTTCTTATCGAACAACATCCTTCAATCCACCGCCATTCCCATCGACCCTTGTTCAAAATCTCCCTCCGAACAATCATTCCCGAACCAACATCTCTATACAAGCACACGGCGCCATTTATCCCAACACATTTTGCAGTACCCCAATCGGGAAATCTCGATCCCAATTCAGACGGAACTTTCTCAACAATCCCCCAATTATCGTCATCCCCAAGCTCCCATGTGCAAACATTTCCACTATATGTGCCTCCAACAAGAGCCAAATTCCCATTTCTTGGAACCAATGCCGCGAATTCAAGCCTATCTGCCATTGGCACGCTCAATTCTGTCCATTTTTTAGTCCCAATTTGGAATCCCATTATACTATATGCCCTTGCAGAAGTAATCCAATATAGCATTCCCTTTGAGTATACACTTTCATTGGGTGTCCACACGGTTAATCTCACAGCAAATTCAACTGGCATTGAACTAATAATTTCCCAGGTTTCGTGATGGGAATCGTACATTTCTACTGTGGGCTGGTAAATGGCACCGCCCCCAGGTGCCTCAGACATACCTGTCGAGAAAAAAAAAATCGTGATTTCTGTATAAAATAAATATTCGTTGTTAAAAACCAGATTAATTATTAGTTACTGGAAATTTAACGTAGTTATATTACCCAAACTTTGTTCCAAATCAGTCATCCAACTATAAGTTATGTTTCACACTCGTCCTTCTGTCTAGTATCATTACTTGGTGCACAGAGGGACGATTTTGAAATGTGTATTAGATTGGGATGACTCATTTGGAACAGATATGAACTCGGTAACTAAATTGAAACATCTACGTAAAGACCTAGATACATAATTTATAGAAATATGCTACTTGTACATAATGCGGTATCCATAACGGTGTCTACCATCTCACATAGAAGGGTATACTTCAAATAAAATATAATACATTCGAAGTGAATCCTCCTCCATGTGAGGGGACAAATATCGTTATGGACACCACATTATCTACGTGTAGCATCACCCTAATTTATATGCGTTTAACCTCATTGATTGTGCTCATTCGAGGGGAAATGGCACTTTTGAAGTGTTCTAATTTGATAGCCATAAGAATTTGGGAAAAAAAGGACTAAGCTCCTCAAACTTTCACATGGCATGGTTCAATCAAATAAGAACCTAGAACCTTACCCTCAAAAATTGGAGACTTATACCACACTATGTGAAAGACTAGGGATCCCATTCATAATTTCCGGTTCTTAATATTATTAGATATAATTTTCGGTTAATTTTAACTTTATATGGTCGTTATTGGACCCCACTCGTCTAATAAAAGTCAACAATAACGGCTATATTTTCAATTTTAATCTGATTTTAATCCCTCCCGTACAAGCCCTAATAATGTCATCATTACAAGTACAATTCAATCACAAACACCTTTTTATTATTGCTGAAACTAAATGATAATTAGAAAATAATATAAAGTTTTTAATGATTTAATTCCAACAGACTTACCCCCAGCCACGTAAACTTGATGATAGCTTGAATGAATTTCAACTACGCCAACTGCCGCATTGGTTCTTGCCAAATTCAGCGGCGGGAGCAGCCGGAATTGCCTGGTGAAGGGGTTGCACACCGCTAAATGGAGGGCGGTGTAAAACCAGATTAATTATTAGTTACTCCAAATTTTGTTCCAAATCAGTCATCCAACTATAAGTTATGTTTCACACTCGTCCTTCTGTCTAGTATCATTACTTGGTGCACAGAGGGACGATTTTGAAATGTGTATTAGATTGGGATGACTAATTTGGAACAGATATGAACTCGGTAACTAAATTGAAACATCTACGTAAAGACCTAGATACATAACTTATAGGAATATGCTACTTGTACATAATGCGGTATCCACAACGGTGTCTACCATCTCACATAGAAGGGTCCACTTCAAATAAAATATAATACATTCGAAGTGAATCCCCCTCCATGTGAGGGGACAAATATCGTTATGGACACCACATTATCTACGTGTAGCATCACCCTAATTTATATGCGTTTAACCTCATTGATTGTGCTCATTTCGAGGGGAAATGGCACTTTTGAAGTGTTCTAATTTGATAGCCATAAGAATTTGGGAAAAAAAGGACTAAGCTCCTCAAACTTTCACATGGTATGGTTCAATCAAATAAGAACCTAGAACCTTACCCTCAAAAATTGGAGACTTATACCACACTATGTGAAAGATTAGGGATCCCATTCATAATTTCCCCAAGAATTATAATAATCTATATTAATAATGTCATCATTACAAGTACAATTCAATCACAAACACCTTTTTATTATTGCTGAAACTAAATGATAATTAGAAAATAATATAAAGTTTTTAATGATTTAATTCCAATAGACTTACCCCCAGCCACATAAACTTGATGATAGCTTGAATGAATTTCAACTACGCCAACTGCCGCATTGGTTCTTGCCAAATTCAGCGGCGGGAGCAGCCGGAATTGCCTGGTGAAGGGGTTGCACACCGCTAAATGGAGGGCGGTGGTGTTGGTAAATTTCAGTAGAACAAGCCCACCAATTGCAGCAACGGGGCGAACGGTGCTAGGCATGAAGTCGAGAGATAGCGCGTGCCAGTTGTTGTCAATTGGGTTTTGGGCATAGCAGGAGAGGCCACGGTGGCGAATTGGCCAAGCTATGAACCATGCTGGGTGGCGCAGCAGGGGCGGAGCCACCGTGGTGGTGGTGCATGTGTGCCAATTCCGGCAGACGGCCTTGGCTCTTGCGAAGGAGTCCGGCGAAAGGTAGGAGAAGATGTTAGATAGGAGATCAAAGGGAAGGTTACTCCACATATTACTGATGTGCCAGGGAGAGAGAGAGAGGGAGTGTGTTTATTCATTTACGCAGAGGATGGGAAAATTACATTATTGGCCATCAATCTATTAGCATTGTAGAAGTTGGTATTCAATTTACTTTTTGATGGCTTCGTCTTTAGCTTTTCAATTTTGTAACAACATTCATCCTATTAGATAGGACTAGTAATGTGTCCTTGCTGCTCATCATACGGCGAGAGCTCAAACCACGGGTGGCTTGAGTCCACACTAAAGAGTTCTCTGTTATGATCTCTGATTCTCTGGGTTTCATGATAGGTTTGACTTGATTCGACTAGGCTTATGTATCTGTGGTTTGTCTATTGGTCAATGACCTAAGACTACCTCAATTCATTGACAAATTGACCGAGCTCGACTCTTCCGACAAGCATAGTTGGACATTGAGATAGATTGAGCCGATACATACAAATAATTTTGCTAAAAAATAAAAATAAAATAAGAAATATAAAGAAAATAAATAATAATCTACAACTCTCTCACCTCCTTCTCCACTGCACCCATACCTTCCTCGTCAGTCAGCCCTACCCCCATCCATGCTCTTGGGATTGGCCATATACCTAACTTGCCCCATTTGTTTTACCTCGATTATCTAGTTTCCATTCTTCGTATGAACTATGAGCAATGAAGTGGATGATTTCTGATCATATAGTATTAACCACAGACCAATTTCATATAACACTAATTGAGTGAGGACCAAAACTATAATATTCCTACTATTAATTGAAGGTTTTGCCTAGGGATGTGCGCTCACATGAACTGAAATCTGGCCCACGTGCCACTGCGAATATTAAACATGCAGCATTGTACATTTTCTGCTGTTAAATGGTTCTTGGTTGAGCTCAAGGGGCAAACTGATGAATAAATAGTCTCCATTGCATCTCTATTATGTCAACTTGCTGAATCCTTTTATGCCTTTCAGTTATGATAGTGAAAGTTGTAGGTCCTGCCCATGATGCCCATGGCTGTATTAGGCCATGCTCGACTAGACTCAAATCGCCCCATCCAATACATAATCACGAATAGACTCGTTTGAGAGATGGACGTTCCGGAGTCTAAATCTTAAAGTTCGCCCGACGCTTAAATTTTTTCTTAATTTTTTAGAAAAATGATGAATAATTAAAAATTGGAATTCATGTGTTGAATGCGTAAAACATGGATAAAGATGAATTGGGTAATCTTATACCTTTAGTCCTTGATTAATTTCTTGAAGCAAGTTGTAAATATGGAATAAAGATTACAATTTTGTTGCATGTACATCATACCTTACAACCCTCTCACATGGAGGGTGGGGCCCGCGATCCCACATTATGTGAGAGAGCTGTACATTGTACAGCATTTAAAAGCTGTACAAACAGCTTTATTGTAAAGATTATCAAACTATAGTGATTTCCATTCTTTCATTGCCAAGTTGAATTGGTTACCAATTTATTCACATAGATAACTAGCTAAAATTAGAGTTATTATCGAGTTCAATTTTTTTGCAAATACAATTTAGTCTCTCTTAAAATAGAACAATCAAAATGTGCAGGAAGTGGATGTCACGATATTAGTTGAACTCCGCTTTCCATTAGATAGAACAATCGTCAATATTGGTTCAATATTCGCAATCATCCAACAAAATTATCATTGAACTCGTTGATAGCCGGCTAATTGAAGCTGAGAGAAACTTTAACCAAATATTTGAGTATAACCAACTGATCATTTGGGGGTTAAAACACTGTTGTCCAGGGAAATTTCAAGTTAATCATCGACTATTTGTACAACATGATTTATTGATTAGTTACACGTAAATTAATTTTGTTACACATAAATTAATTTTTATTTTTTAATCACACATTATCCAAAAACTCACTATTTTATTTTACTCCAAATCTCATTTTAATGGAGCCCAAACAGGGATTTATAAGTCTCCATTAGACAATTGTGTTGGTGCAATGATTGGGCTTGCAGTAAGACGACAATGGCTAGGGGTGGTCGGTTCGACTTGTTGGCTAGGGCCATACTAGGTTCGTCCTATTGGCCATGCCTTATGAGTCGAACCGAGTCACGAAACTTTATTTTTATTTTTCAGATCAAATTAAAAATTGAAAATTTGGAAAATAAGGTGCTCGTGATGGGTCAACTCAGGAAGTTTGTCGAGATCCACTCAACTCATAGACTTGTGGTTGAACGAGCCGAGTCCACCGATGCACTGTGAGCCGAACCATGGCTAGGAGCCTAGCGCTTGAGTTTGCCTTTACCTTTTTTCAATTTTTTTTCATTGAAATTTAAGTGTTCATCCAATACACCCTTCAAATTTCAAAATATATATCAGACTGCGAGGACCTTCTTGCAACAAAATTACAAAGTGGGAACTCTCTTATTACAAATTTAACGTTTCAAATATGTAGAAACGGACATTTCCCCTGATGCGCAATAGCCGTTGAGATTTTTGGGTAATGCGATTCATATAATCTCACACCAGAAGTTAACAATATAAGCCAATAAAACATCCCACATGCACCTTTTGGAGGACCTCAACATGCGCCATGTTGCAAGATTTTGCACAGACTGTAAAGATTTTTTTTTAAGACAATAATTGCAAATTATTTCGATCTTGGAAAAAGTGCAATAGAAGAAATGAATAATAAAGATTCCTTCCACATTATTGTAGTTCTGAGATTGGTTAGTGTACAATGGAAAGATTTTTGTCTTCACTCGCTTTCTTGAACCCCAGTTGCCACCAAAGGGCTTTGGCCTTTATTTTTTATGAATCTCAAGAAAAAAAGGGTTCCTGGATTTTGTTAGGGATTGTAGCTAATATATGGTCTCGATTTGCGAAAATTGGAGATGGGTGTCGAGTGAGAGTCTTCAATCTTCATTTTACGTGGGCTGTTGATTTTTCACATAATATGCCTGAACGGAATCAGATATTTGAGAATCCAATCTTCAAGTTTGCAATTTTAGAGGTGGGTCACTGTAATATGATGTTTTAGAGGTTGAAGAAGGAATAATTTGTGAGTATACTGATATGCGGTGTGTTTTGGATATGAAGGCAGAAATCAAAACGCAGTTTCTGCAAGGGGCTTCCAGAAATTTTGTTGATCAAGCTTCGTTTTTTGGTTTCCTATTGCTGGGAATGTGAATTCTATACAAGAATGCCATCGCGTTTCCAGTCATTCAAATATTCACCATATATAGTTTGTTGTGTCAATAAACGTAAGAGCCAGGCCAGAGAAAAGAAAGTTCCAGCTTTCGTCTATCTTCAATCATCAATCATCCCACAAGCTGAAGAAAGTAACAATTCACCTGATTGTGTGAGAAATTCTTTTTCGAATAAATCTACTAGAAATTCTAATGCTGTTGGAATTATTGGAGGTGTGATGGCATGTTTCTTGAGAAGTCTGGAGTTTCTTGCGTTGTAATGCCTTGTCATATATCACATTGTTGGCATGATGAGGCTGCAGAGGGTGGCTCAGTTCCTTTCCTTCATATTGGTGAATGTGTTGCCAAAGGAGCTCAAGGAAGCCAAGTTGAGGCCACTTGAAGCTGGAAGTTCTCTGTGAATCAGAGTTCTAGCCACCAATGCAACCTTGACAGCGAGATTTATCAGGAAAAGCTTCAAAATGAGGTATCTTCGTCTATTACACGTGCCCCTTATGCATATCTTTCAATGCATGTTTGGTATGCAATACTTGATGGACAAGACTTGAGAGTAAAGTGAACAAGATTTTAACTTTTTTCTTCCTTAATATTTTACATTGCTATCCAATTCTCCCTAACAAACATGCCATTATTTTAATAACTTACTATTTCTTGAAGAACGTAACTAGAATATTGTTTTGAGATAGAATCAGATGTATAGATATTTTCATAATTTCAATCACATGTTACCCATTAAGCGAGTGATAGCTTAGCTTATGCAAGGTGAACAATGTAAAAGAAAATTCCAAGCATGTGATTGCAGAAGTGCACTTTAGGTTTGCATAATTTCCTACATACTATGTCCAGTATAAAACAAAAAATTTCTCCAAATAGTCAAGAAATAGCTTCAATTTGTGCTTTTGATCAGTATTTATTGAAACGGTGATCAAATGTCCTGAAGTTGCTGACCTGACTTTCTAACATTTTAGATGAATAAGAAAACAAACTTTCTAATTTTGATAAATTACAGAAATGGTTCGTCAAGTGGTTCAAGTTACACGAACAATATTGGGAATTAGAACACAAGAGAGGCTCAGTTGTGTTGGGAATTAGAACTCAAGAAAGATTGTTGTATTAGATGTATAGATATCTAGTACAACATTAGAACCAATGTTTTGGCTACCAACTAAACTACTGAGGGATGTAAAATGCAGATAGAGCTGTGCAATAGCAAATTCATGACTTCAGGTATCATTCCAGCTTTATTGACCATTCCATTCAATGACGTGTGTGCATTTTCTTACACTTGTGGCTTCTTTGGTAAGAAGGTATAGAGTATTAATGAAGAAAAAGAAGTTAAAATGTTGTTTTGCCCTTGTTTGACATCCATTTTTTTTCTCTTTCTTCATTTCAACCACACATTTTATCAATAAAATAATATTACACATAAACCTAAAAATTCTCCTTACTTTTTAACCACACATTCTTCCATCGATCATTATTCCAAATCAAATTCTTCTTTTGACATCCATTTTTTTTTTCTCTTTCTTCATTTCAACCACACATTCTATCAATAAAATAATATTACACATAAACCCAAAAATTCTCCTTACTTTTTAACCACACATTCTTCCATCGATCATTATTCCAAATCAAATTCTTCTTCAAAATGGGTGTCAAACACAAATGTCCAGTAGTGAGGACCAAACATGTACTATATCGCGCTTCGATGCTCTGTTTTCCGTCGTTTAATCTTAAAAACAGATCTCCATCACTAGGATATCTATGTACGCTCCCATTCTTTCATTTCAGTTTGGTGCTAGTTGGAATCTTCTTTAACTTTATAATATTCTGATTACTAGAACAATAGTTTTCAATATATAATTGTTTAAATTTTGAGTTTTTGCAACGTGCAGGGTTTTGAGGTTTTACTGCCAGATAAAGCAACAGTGGAACACACTCTGATTCCTGCTGTGGAAGCTTTAAGCAGAGAAGACATTAGAGGAGCACAGAATTTGTTTAGAATTGCTTTGCAAGTTCTACTGGTCAGGGCTGTCAACACTGTTATCCTTGCCTCTGATGCGTTCGGGAACTTTTGCCACCGAATGATCCTCTATGGAAGAAATGCATCGACCCGATGGATGCATTAGCCAGGTCAACAGTCAAGTATGCTAAATCAGCTGATAGAGGTAAATAAACTTTGGGGTGCATAATTGGTATACAGTATTGGAGAAAACTGAGTAGTATAATGATGAAGATTTTAGTTTCTTTTTCTTTTTAGTAGCATCTAGTACTATTTAATCATACCTGTGCAACATGCTTAGGGTGTATTGCTTCCGATTAAATGTGCATCTGAAATTCTAGTTGTCATTGTAATTCTTCGTAAAGGATGTGATACGTATGTGGTTCTGCATTATGTGTTCTTGTAGTTGAAGCTTTGAAAGAATATTGGAACAGTTATGAATGCACCAATCAACAAAAGAAAATCTGTAAAGACTAGAATTATATTAAAAATGAATGTCAAAATGAAACAGTTAAACTTCGGAAAACACACTCAAACAGCTATTGTAACAGAATGGTTTGGTAATGGCCACCAGCCACCTTTGACAATGCAAAGAAAAACACTAATACTAAGGAATTAAAGTATCATTTCAAATCCTTGTACTAGGGTTGCTTGGTTGGTCTGTGCTTGTTGGGTTGTTTGAACCATCTGCGCCACCGATGTTGCCAGGGCAGTTGGTGGTGTTGTCTGCAGAGTTCATGCCGAGAGTGTTTTTCACTGCATCGGCTGCTCCAGATGTCATATTTGCTGCTCCGGCTGCTGCTTCCCGTGCTAGGTTCACGGCCCCTTGTGCTGCTCCTTTGCCTATGTCTGCTGCTCCTTGTGCCATGTTCTTGACTTGCGTCCCGGTCTTCAATTATAAAAAAAGTTGTAATCAATGTCGGAATAGTGAATGGACAATGTAACTTGTATAGTTGTTCTGTCTATGAAATATCACAGAGAATAAAATGGAGAAGAAATTGAAAGATTCAACATTACATCTTGAAGGAAGTTGGTGCCCTGGCCTTGGTTATGAATGTCACATGGTTGGTTCAGACCATCCCTTCTCATCTGCAATTGCACGATGGATACTGTATTTGAGTTGTACAACATGAAGAGAGAAAGAAATGGACAGCCCTTTTAACTGGTCGTAGTCACTTAACCCAAAGAATAAGTTTCGTATGCGAAGGCCCCATTTCCCGATAAATTATACTACCTTGTGTTTGTGTTTCTTGACATAATGCTTTTCTCAGATGAGACTCGAGAGTATTGAAGTGTCGTAACGAAAATTACCTGAGCTTGACCTGGAACTTGTGCAGCATTGTGTGTTTTTTAGGACCTTTGCTTGCCATTTCTCTTAGTTGCTTTCTTGAATGCAAATCAGAAATCAAATGAAAGTTTTGATTTTGCAGCTGAATTTATAGTTTTGTGAACTTTGAGTATTCTTGTTAATTTTGTACCTAAATATGTGCATTTATCAACACATGGCATGGTGAGATTCAGTACCTTCCGGAGGGGATTGGGTAGGGAATGTTTCAAACAGGTTTGCTAAGTCAATGAAGAGGGCATGCAGGTGGTTTCAACTGATTCTATTGGAGAGGTGTAAATTGCAAGGTCGACCAGTCTAGCTTGGCCCAGTACAGATTCGGTACACGTTCGACTTGACACAGATCAATCTATGATGTGCTATGGGTAGGCACATTTAGGTCATGGCCATGTGCTTCCTATCTAATAATCAAAGTGAATTGTAATATATAATCTAAAATTTCGAAATTAATAGTATGTGTTTTCTCAATTAATTCAATCATTTTTTAGCAACGCGAATTTTGAGATACATGATTTATAAACACAAATTTTGAATGAAAAGTATGTTTTAACTAAATGTTCGAAATAAGGTTGTCAACTCGACCTAATATGGACCAAGCCTATAGGTCGTATCGAACAACGATATAACTCAATTAATATGAAGAACTATTGTTGACAAATGTATGGTATTGTGCATTTTTTTAAAAAAGTTCTCTAATTTTGAAGTTTGTAATAATGAATAATGATAAAGACAGTTTAGCGAAATGTGATTGAAAAATATCCGTTTCATTTGATGTATAGAATAACATCGTTTGTATTTACTTTAGAATTTAACGATGACATTTTAACTGGGTGATTTAATAGTAGAATAATGTTATTTATTATTATGATGATGGAATATCAGTGATGTGGTAATTTATATAGAACAATGAGACTTGACAGTTCAACATGAGAGATGAGAAGGAGAGAGAGAAATTCGAGATATTTGATGATGATAAATAACATTACTCTTACTAAAATAATTGTTATAAATGTTAGTGACCATGTTTTAAATTTATTACAATGCTAAGTGACCGTTGTTGAAATTAACTACATTAATTCATCAAACGAAACTAACCACCAATGGAAGACACGCTACGTGGCGTTTTCTCAATCAATCTTTCCAATTCCTACGCCTACACTCTAATATGTGCACAATAACGGACAAAAATTAACCACGTCTCCTCGGCGCACATTAGCCCGAATACCCTCTTTCCAATTTAAGGCGGGAAACATGTGAACCGTTTTTTTCATTCTAATGCGTCTCTTTAACCCGACAATGTCTACCGGGTCGAACTCTCTGATTTGGTTCCGAAAGGGGCTCCGAATCCACGACAATCCGGCTCTCGAGCACGCGGCCAAGGGGTCCGACTTTTTGTATCCTGTTTTCGTGATCGATCCTCACTACATGGAGCCTGATGTCACAGCGTTTTCCCACGGGTCGAAGCGGGCCGGGTTGAACAGGATCAGGTTCTTGCTCGAGAGTCTCGTGGATCTCGATTTGAGCCTCAAAAGGCTCGGGTCGCGTTTGGTGGTGCTCAAGGGTGAGCCTAGCCAGGTCTTGATTCGCTGCTTGAAGGAGGTAATCAAATTTTAACTGAATATTGACATGTGCTTCTTCGCTTGTGATTTACTTTATATAATCTGTTTTAGCCTTTTTCCTGAATGAGTGCATCATTGTGTAACTTCTATCCATCCTTAACATCTAATATCATTTCTTTTGTTGGAGCCGTCAGTGGAACATAAGCAAGCTTTGTTTTGAATATGACACGGACCCATATTATCAAGCTCTAGATAATCAAGTCAAGGTAGGAACTTTTTCTTTTTCTAAATAGAGGAACACGTATGTCTTAATTCTCTTTCGGTTGCTAGAATTTTCAGAATGTTGTTTTCCTTATATATTCTGCATATTTGGCTACAAAATCTTTATGTTTCTTGCTGCAGAGTAATGCATCTGCAGCTGGCATTGAGATATTTTCACCTGTCAGCCATACTCTCTTCAATCCTGCAGATATCATACAGAAGGTAAATGTTGATCCAGTTGCGACTAATTCTAGATGACCAAACTCTTTTCGATGAGAAGTGTTTTTCTTTACTTTTTGGAACTGGGTGATAATCAAATTCCGATCACAATTGAGTATCCTACTTTGATTATTTATTTAGTTCACTTGTCTACTTGTAAAATATCTGAAAGAATGGTGGAAGACCACCTTTGAGCTATCAGTCTTTTATCAAACTCGCTGGGGAACCCTCTTGGGCATCCTCGCCTGTTTCAAATGCACTTTCTTGGCTTCCTCCTGTTGGAAACTGTTCAACCACAGAAGTCCCGTCAATGGAAGAACTTGGCTATGATGACAGTGCCGAGGTATGAAGTCACTTGCACTCTAAGTTCATGTTTTGTATGCAGAATTAGATTGTAGTGGTCTAGTGGATATTACATTGAACAAGGTTTTAGTTCATTTTCTTTCTTAATAGTGTCTAGTGCTATCTAATCCACCTTATTGAACATACCACAAGTGGTCCTTTTCGCAATATTGTTTTGTAACAGACATTAGTGAACAGGTTGAGAGAACTCCCTTTGTAGGTGGTGAATCAGAAGCATTGAGACGATTGAGAGAATATCTATCAAACAAGGTATTATTGGTTAAAATAATGACATTTCAAAGGCATTGAACGTTTTATTACTCCTGAAAATGCTGCAAGAATGGCTTTTGTTTTTTCCTTAGTTTGCTGGGCTTGTATTTGAATCAATTCACTTTTTATTTTTCTGTTTGAGGATGCAGATCGAAGTTAATTGGGATATTATTAACCTTCAATTTAAGTCTTAGTTTAATTAGAAAAATAATATCTAAATCCTTAAGTATGGGCTATTGCAGTTATCAACAAATTTGGCACCTGACTGATTCAATTGTTAATTGTGTTGTTAATTTATCTGAATTTTGCTTTCCCACTGTCATATATGACTACACTCCTGATCCTATGTTGCAGGAATGGGTGGCTAACTTTGAGAAACCCAAGGGTGATCCATCTGCATTTCTATCACCAGCAACAACTGTATTATCGCCTTATTTGAAAGTAGGTCACAGGTCAGCTGAGCTGTTTTTCTGTCAATTTTTTCCGAAGTAATCTAATCTTTCTTCGGAAGTTTGGTTGTCTATCTTCCAGGTACTTCTACCAGTGCATTCAGGACATCCAGAGAACTGTTAAGAAGCACACATCTCCCCCAGTTTCTCTTCTTGGACAGGTCAGTTGACCACTTGTTGAACGGTTGGAATCCTCATACACTTATCTTTCTGATAATTTCAACTTCTGCAGTTATTATGGCGAGATTTTTTCTACACTGTTGCTTTTGGAACTCCTAATTTTGACCGGATGAAGGACAATAAAATATGCAAGCAGGTAATTGGAGCATCTTGTGAAGTCAAGTCAATAGCTGGCCTCATCCTTTGTTCAGATTAAAGAAGAAGAGGAGAAAATTAACAAATTTTCCTTCCCCTTGTTTTGTAAAAGCAATAAAACAGAAAATAAATTAGTAAAAATTATGTTTCTCTTGTGCCACATTCAGCTAAGTTGAAAAGTTAAAAACACCGAGTAACTCCCCATGAAATTCCTTTTGGGCCCACGAATATTTTCTCTCCTTATTTTCCCATTTTCCTCTAAAATTAAACAAATGAAAGTATTTTTACTCTCTCTTCTTTAGTTTTATCTCATTTTCCTTTTCTTCTGTTCTTCTCTCCTAATTCTCTCTTCTCTAGTGCATCTATAACTATTTTGGCATTTTTTTTTCCATTTGGTAGCCACTGTCTATGATTGTCTTTTTTTATCCTTTACAAAATGGTCTCTAATATCGATGATATAAAATCCAGATTACATGTCTGAATTTTCACTTCTTTGTTGTTGTCACTAGTACATTCGTTAAATATGAAACTGTAGCTCATTTTACGTGATTTGAGGGACGTGCATACACACCAGAAACCTATATACGAATTATTTCTCTCTAGTTTTTTTTATCAAATACCCATTCAATAATCATCACTCATATACATGTAATGATATAGGTAGACTATTCAATGGGTTTTCTAGTATGATCAACGGAAACATAGAATCAATTATTTAATTAGTAACAGATTAGTGTTAGAAGGAGGCAACAAATGAGCGTTCCTCTACTATATTATCTTTCACACTCGTTTTCTCTAAGTTAGATGAAGGAAATGGTACTGAGAAACTAATTTACTACTTGATGCACAAAAAGTGTGCATATTACGATAAAGGTTCCATGGTAAAATAATAAATTTCTAGCTGCTAGGGAGGCGTTAGTTAATGTCATATATGACCGGACATAAGTAAATTTTATTTCAGTACTTGCATGACTTTGCCTATTTATTTATTTATTTTTATATAGATACCGTGGAAAAATGACGATGAATTGCTAGCTGCTTGGAGAGATGGCAGGACAGGGTTTCCTTGGATAGATGCCATAATGGTCCAGGTTAGGTCTATCGACTGGGTTCAATTGAACTTTCAATTCAGAAGTTGTACTCCCAGTGGATCTTTGTTATTTATTAGTGTCATATACTAGTGTCTGACCATTTATATTTAAACAGCTGCATAAGTGGGGTTGGATGCACCATCTTGCTCGGCATTGTGTTGCATGTTTTTTAACTCGTGGAGATCTGGTAATTTTGCTTACAGTCATGTGGGCCTTGTCTTCAAACCTCTTATCTCTTTTTATTGATATTGCTTCATTTCCTGACAGTTTGTGCACTGGGAAAAAGGACGTGATGTTTTTGAGAGACTTCTTATTGATTCTGATTGGGCAATCAACAATGGGAACTGGTTGTGGCTCTCATGCTCGTCCTTTTTTTACCAGGTATATTTCAATTTTTTCCTCTTTCATAGCTGTGGTTACAAACAAGTGCATCTGTTTTCTGAGCCTATATGGTGTTGCACCTTAGAGCCGTCGATTGCCAACTAGAAAAGCTGGCCATCTTGCATCTGTCATGTTGTGAATATTGCTAGTATGACACATTTGGTAGTAAAAATTGGACAGTACTGCACATACCATGGAAGAAAAGAAGTTCAAATCTTGTTCATCATACTATATAGTCCCAATTCCCAAACATACACTTAAAAGTATCAATTTTGATAAATTTTGACCCAGCTTGGAATTTTCTTTGCTTTCATGGATTCCATGAATTTGTTGTGGCTCATTTGGTGGTCCAAATTTATTTATCCCTGGCAAGCATGCATCACAGGATTTTAATTTCATGTTTGATTATACCAGTTTTCTCCATAATTTGAGTGAAAGCCTGATTATTGTTTTTCTGCATTTTATAGTACAACCGAATTTATTCTCCAATCTCATTTGGAAAGAAGTACGATCCTAATGGGAACTACATTAGGTATTTTCTTCCAGTATTAAAAGGTGTGTCCAAGTGTTTATCTTGGTTTTATTGGTTTGTTACTTTCAGTATAAAACTTCACCTCGTCTAAGGTTTGTTCCCAGACATGCCTAAGGAGTATATTTATGAGCCATGGACAGCTCCTTTGAGCATACAAGTTAAGGCCAAATGCATCATTGGAGAAGATTATCCAAAACCAGGTGCTTTCACTTAGCTGTATGCTTCAATTATACTTGACGATTTGTTCTGGAAGTGTAGATTTATCTTTATCTGATCATGTCAATGAAGATCCCAGACTTGATGTTATTTTGATAATGGTAATGGCTCTTAAGACGATTTATAATGTTGATAGTCTATTATAAATGGTACCTATCAATATGACAGGTCTTTGTGACGGTTGCCAGTGGATCCCAATATGAAATACGTTAAATTATTTTTAGTATATAGGAGATAATGGAATCTTATAAGTTTTTACGTAAAACTCCTTATCAATGTGGCTCTGCCTTTGGTTAGCTTCTTTTCCTTTTAGTTTACATACTCTGGATGTTGCCTCTGCCATTTTATTTGGAGATAATTTGTTTTAGGTATTTATTTTTTGAGGAAAATTTAGTTGTTAAATTGTCCTTTTAGATTCTCGCTTGTGTACCCCTTGATCATATTATTTTAAGTTTTGAACTTATTTAGTCTTATCGTGACCTGTTATTTATGCTCTTTCGGAAAATCTCTTTATCTTTCCATTTTGTCTAATTTCTGTTGGCTTTGGAGAAGCCATCTTACTAATTGGGCGCTCTCTGTACTGTTCTATTCCGTTCCAGTGGTCTCCCACGATTCCGCAAGCAAAGAATGCAAGCAGATATTATATGAAGCGTATGAGTTGAACAAAAAGTTAAACGGCATAGTGAGTGAAGAAGACCTGGAAAGTTTGAAGAGAAAAGTTGAGGATCATAAGAATTTGGAGTCAAAATCCAAAAGACTAAAACAGACGCGGACTGGCTAATGTACGAGACAAGTTATAGAACATTATGTGGCTACATACTGAAGCATACGAGCTATCATGTGGAAACAAAGCTGGATTACTGTCTCTTTCAATTTCTTGTAGGAGATGTCGATATTGTTAGGATTTTGTTTTCAAGGGCAAAAGAAAGTTAAACATTAGGGCCATGTTTAGTATTTAGAATTGGATATTACATTTACCGCACAATGTTGTAACTTATTTTTCTTCTCCATTAATATTTAGTCGACTTTACCAAATATCCCATATGAGGTACAGTTTAATCTCCTACTTCAATGCCCGTCTCTATTTCTCATCTCCTTCTTGATGTTTTGTATGTATTAAGTTGCTTGGTTTTCCTTATTTACACGTTTATTGCTTCGACGTTGCTGGAATTTTAGAAATATTAGTCTCCTTTTTCAAGGTCATAAGCAATGGGTTACAGAAGTACAATTTCTAGGTGTTGTCCAGTATCCAATATCTTGTCAAACTTACTGGATATTGCGCCACGAATGGTGAGGGAGTATACATCGATTACTTGTATACGAGGGATATAAAGGCAAAAGGTGGGTTAATATCATGATTTTCACTTAATTTACTTTCAACATTTTGTAATTTATATTGGTTTTGAAATGTCTTCAAGTTGCTATTGAACTTACCAAAATATTAACTGTATTGTTGTGCTTGAACTGTGAGGGCTCTCAATCACGTCAATAATTCAATGTGCTTTTATCATTGTCTGATCATAGTCGAAATTATGTATTTACGTATCGTATTCTTAGTAGGTTTTTCCGAACACCACGTGATCACTTTCACAATTAGGTTTTGAGTTCTTGGATTTTAAGTTTGTTATCCTCAAGCTTCTTTAGTATCACTCGTTAATACATGTTAGACGGAATAAAGGATATGAGATTACATTTACAAAATTTTAAAGCTTAACAATCTTTCTATATATAAAAAGTGCATATTTAACGGAATTTGTTGGTTTAACGTAAAAACTAACGGAATTTGTTGTTTTAACGGATTATGTAACGGAATTTCTTGTTTTAAACAGGCAGCTGCACATTCCTTCAGTATTTTTATCATAACTTTATATTCCAATATTCGATTGAAGCGATTCAAAATGCGTTGGAAAGCTAACCCATCTGGCTACAACTTTGATTCAGACTTCATTCTCTAATTCGATAACTTTCTATGCCAAAAATATGTCTCAATATAACGGACTATGTAACGAAATTTTTTGTTTTAAACAGGCAACTGCACCTTCTTTCAATGTTTTTATC